CTGGAGGACCAGGAGACTGGACTTCGTCTGACCTCTACCCATTGACCTTCCAGGTATGATGAAATTTTCCGGCTTAAAAAAGGTATAGCTTGTTGTGATAAAAAATGTGGTCCAATAATTCAAAACCCTGAAGCAGCATTTCACTCCACAGACTCACTTCGCTTGGATCGTTTTTTATATAAAACTCGATGGCCACACTCCAGACAACGAACCAATTCACGAGGTCGAATTTCGTTCTCAGCTCGACATTCTGTTACGGAAAAACGGAGTAAATATGGTTTGAAATTACATACATCATGATATGAGAGCAATGCAAAAGCAAGGTTCTTAATCACCATCACTAACGGGCAACATGTATCAGGACAATTCCAGCGAAACCAATCACAACTGGAATCGTACGGTGACAGTGTGCCGCAGTGACAGGCAACCAACGCAAATGATTTTCAAGCAAATATTAGGATCGCTCTAGGAAGTGAATGAACAGCGATTAGACGAGTCATGGCCCGATAACACTAATTTAAGAGTATTGGTTGACTCTTAAAGAAAACCCTTGAATAGGTCGAAATGCTCGCGTGATACCTACTTGTATTAGCAAAACAATATCGCGCCTAACCTAGAGGGGACTTGTGTGTGATGATGATGATATATCACCCAGGCAGCTTGCTCCGAAAACATCTATATCGGTAAACACTAGTGAAACTACCGGAGATCAGCATGTGCACCGCACCGAAGTGTCCCACACCTTCGGGTTTCGATTCAGCGGTTCAACTGGAAAATAAAGCCCCAGAATCCTAAATCCGCATACATCAGCTTACAAGAGATCAACAGCTTGTCCACCCAAACTATCTTCGACGTAGAGGTTTGAAAAGCTCAGTGAAGATGTTGGACTTTGGCTTTTTATATCATGACAGTATTGAAGAGTAACGACGTAGCACTATTTTTTCATTGTAGCTGATGTACCTACACTATTAGAGGATTAAAGACTCGTATTTAGCTTCGTGCTTTCCCTCTTGATCACCGCTCGAGCGTTCCAGCTTAGTACAATTCTTGTTCAATTATTCGACTTGATCACATGAAAGCTAACAGAAAACACGGAGGGGCAGAAGTGCAAGGGGCTAGGATTCAAAAGATCCTGTAACAAGTGGAACGGAGACAAAGAAAAATATGGTGACAGACGGATGGCAGGGACACGCTGTTCATTTCTTATCAGGCTAGAATGCCTGAGATGAGCATATAGTGCCTACATCAGTTAGGTTTATTCTCTCCTTCCTCAAACGAGACCATTCTCAAACCACCTAACATATTTTCACATTGAAGTTCTTCTTGTGATACTTTTCTGTATGACAATAACTTTGTAACACTGACGAAAAGGTGATCTAAGACAATGTTCACGTAAAAACCAAATGAATCAACCCGGAGTCTATTAATGCAGTGGGGCTAAGAAAATACCGGTTGGCCGTTTTACCTCCACAGATATAGGAGACCGTGCGAGACAACTGAGGTACGGTTCCAGTGGCAGCTGGAGTCTCACCACCACGCTTTGACGAATCCATTGACGATAAAGTGAAGTCCAATCAGATGGAGAATGTAACACGCTAAAATGGGAAAAAAAAACAAATTCAACGCAAATTTAGATAATCTGCATTATGTATCTGATACCTCATGGAACTGAGCCGGTACTTATTTTGTTTACTCTCACACCACCGTCTACAAAAAGGGCAACCGAAAGATAGAACTTGTGACAAGTGAACGAAGGTGGAAAATAAAAAAATTGAAAGTGATGTTACATCGGCATTTTAACACGAATGATGCCAACGCAAAAGCATTCTGTCTGTCTATCTTGGGGCAGAGGGCAGGATACCCGTGTAAGCCACGTCACCACTGGGTCCAAGGTCCGAGCAAATGTGGTCGTTCCTGTATAGTCCCCTAAGGTGCTCCTCCAAAAGCCGCTTCAAAGTAGCGTCGGTCGTTTCCTCCACCACAGTCGCTGGAAGAGAATTCCAGAGCGTTGTCGACCTCCTCGAGAGTTGGTAAGCTAACGGAAGATCAACCGACTGAAGTTTGCGCAACGTGAGAGAGTGCCCCCGCGTTCCTTTTTCCGTAGTAGAAAATGCTGCTGCAACTTCGGGCCCATATACCCCCTCAGGATCTTCCTCAGGCAGATCGGATCTCCCCTGATGCGCCCATACGCAATTGGGAACAGACCAGTAGCCTGTAGATGACCTTCATAGCTGGTCCCACGTAGTCTAACAGCGAGTATAATGGCAGCACACTATACACGCTCCAACTTAGACAGTTCAACCGTGCGGAGGTATCTCGCTCACCTTCACCTTCTGGGATGAAAGGTAATAGGGACTCCTCCCGTATGAGCCTTCTATTCTTTGGATCCGGACAGGCTATCCATCAGTTTGCCGCCTTACCAATAGAAAATCATCCAGCCCCGTTTGAATTTGCCATCATTCTCCTCTTCCACCATATCCGTCGGATCATTCTCCTGGAGAGACGGTACACTGACGGTAGTCCGGATTAATCTTGTTTCCGAAGCGTGAAACGGTGATCGCGAGTACGTGCATCGTTGCGCAGTGGAAACTTTTCTTGCAGCTCCTCCCCCAGGTCAGCACGGATAATCTTCCTGGTTAGCAGGATGTCACCTCGAATGCGTCTGTAACTCTCCATGTACAGTTCCGTGATGACGAGTCGCTGGTCATAACTGTGCTCGTAGACCCGCAACTAGACGGGTTGATACTCTCCGTATACTTTCAATTTTTACCATCTTTCCTTGTGATGGGAAAAGCCGCCTCTCCCCCATACTCCAGACGAGGACGGATAGCTGCGGCGTACAAGAGTTTGAAGGCCTTTCTCGACAGCGGTCCGAACGACCGGCGAATTGCTCCCAGCATGCTCCAGGTAGAAGAACAATTTTTGTCCGTGTGACCTCTGGTCTTGAGGTACGATGCGATGATCACCCCTAAGTCCCTCTCATGGTCGCTGTCCCTAAGGAGAACATTGTTTAATGTGTAGGCCGGTCTGAGGTCACTGCGACCTATTCTCATATGCACACACTTACCGATGTTGATGGGGAGCGCCAACTCGGATAGTCGACCCAAATCAGCTTGTAAAACGGTCGCGTCTAGTGACGATTGAAGTGGTGTTGATACGCGATTCGTATGTACGGTACTTTTCTAGTCTTTGGTCGAATATACGCACTCCGATGTCAATGTCAATATCAGAAGATAGTCAGAACGTCTCGGATTCTTGTCTTTGGTGGTTCTGTAATGATAAAACAATATGTTAACATACAACAACAAGAAAACAAGATTGAAATCGAAAAAAACGTACATTCAGAGTAGTTTGACCAGAATTCCAACAAAGAGCGCTGATGAGTGGTGATCAGAGCAAAGCAGTAAGCAAACAAAGATGGCCGGCCGCCAAGACAAAGACAGACAAAGACGGATTACAGTCAACCGGTAGGAGAGCAGGGAACAAGGAAGATTGTCCGAAAAGAGTTTTACTACTGACAGCAATCAATAGTAGCGATGAAAGAATGAAACATGTACAACTATCACAAGTGGTCCCCATAATTTCAGATCATCCGCGTAGACGAGGCATGGTGACTGTAGCCGACTGGGGAGATTGTTGATGTACAACCGGAACAGCACGGGGGAAAGAACTGTACCTTGCGGAACTTCACTAAGAACTGGGTATCAAGAAGATATTGAATTACGAATCCTCATCGAAAAAAGTCGTCTCTTCAGAAAATCCTCGACCCACGTGAGTATTGGATTCGTCACTCCAAAGCTTCTCAACTTCAAAAGCAGCCTATCGTGTGGAACCTTGTCCAAGGCTTTACTGAAGTCAACATACATAATATTCGTGACTGACCCACTGGATTTGGCGGCACACCATTCCTCCCTGGCCAGAAGAAGGTTTGATAGGCAGGATCTCCTCGGGCGAAAACCATGCTGTTGGAGGCACAGCACTTGGCACTCCTCAAACTGTATCTTCCACTCATTGGGACGCTCCTGAGCGTTTTTCGTGATAAGGAAATTTGTGCTCCAATAAATGATAATACCAACATGATCACTTGATCCGAAAGGATTTAATTGTACGATATCTACCACGTCTGAGCGTCTCGGTGATATGACAAGGTCTAACACCGATGCCGAACTCCCCTGGATGTGTGTGGGATCACGAATATGCTGGTACAATGAGAGCGATTCCAACAAGTCACATAGCTGACGTTCGAACGTACCTTCACGACAACCAAATACTCCGGCCTCCCAGTCGATGTTGGGGGCCATGAAGTCTCCCAGAATCACCTGTGGTTCACCGCCGGATGCTGAACAGAATAATCCAAAAGTTCGCTGATGACAAGACTACCCCTTGACATGTAATAATGGCTTGTGTACCTGTCTGACCCAAAGAGCTTTACGGGATAGCTTTTGCCAGGTCGCACATCTAATTACGCCTGGAAGTTCAACGGATAGAGGTCAGACGAAGTCCAGTCTCCTGGTCCTCCAGGTTGGGGGTTCGCCTGGAATTGGCGTTTCAGTCGATAAAAAGCGGTGGAGGAGTAATCGATCCAAGTAAATGGGCCTCCGATTCGCCTCACCCGCTGCCTTGCGGTTGGGTTCTTGTTAGAACTAAAGGCTTCGGATGAGAACTCTAAGCGTTCTCCTGCTTAGTGGCTGGACACCCTAGCAGTACCCGTCCACCAAACCCCAATGTATACACAAAATAAAAATAATTCCATACTGCATCGGTCGTCGCGCAGGATAATCAGGACCGCGCTGCCCATTGCATCGAGCGGGGTGGGTAGTGATAAGTGGGCTACTGCGCAGATATCCCAAACTTTGTTTAACTCTTTGACTTCCGTACCCAACCCTCGCCCTTTACCCCTTCGTCCAACCCGTAACAGTCCCTCAGATAACTCGTTTGTCACTCGCCAAAACTCGTTGACAAGTAGCCCGGTAAGTAGTTTACCACAACATAGATTGCAGATTCTCAAGCCTCGTCATTCGCTGAATCTGGGGCCTTCAACGTGAGTACCCTGATGCAGGTAGGTCAACAAGCGTGTCTGGCGCGTACAATGGACTCTTTCGGGATTGATGTCTGCTGCGTGTCGGAGACTCGAATCCAGGATCCGAGTACTATATGCCACTTAAGTGCACCGGGATTGTCTTCAAGCTTCTTCCTCCGCACGTCAGGTAATGGCGAAGCCCGTTCAGTAGACCAGCGTGGTGTGGGCATTGTACTGAATAATACAACCGAAGCCGCACTACTCGATTGGGTCCCCGTCAACATCCGCCTATGCGCAATGTGGCTCCAACGGTCTATCAGCGCCCGGAAGGGAAGCAACACCGAAAGGTGTTTATTCATCTCAGTGTATGCATCGACCAACTGCAGTTCTGACGCACAAGCAACACCGAAAGGTGTTTATTCATCTCAGTGTATGCATCGACCAACTGCAGTTCTGACGCACAAAAGGACGAGTTTTATGATAAATTGACCGAACTCACTCGGTTGAACCGAAGCTCCGATATAGTTGTTCTCGCAGGTGATTTTAACGCTCAAGTTGGAAAACTGGGCGCATTAGAAGCTTGCCTAGGCGGTCATTGTGCTACGCCCTGCTAGCTGAGAGATAACGGTGATGGATTTCTTCAGTTCTGCGCAGACCATCATCTGTTTCTATCCAACACCAACTTTCGACACAGCTCTCAACGGACAGTAACGTGGCGCTCAAAGTCAACTGGCGCGTTAACTCAGATCTACCATATAGCAGTAAGCTACCGTTGGCGTGGTTCAGTACAAAACTGCAGGTCTTATTGGACTGACTGGATTCCGGTTGGTAGCCGACTGTACGCTGTACGTCTCTACTGCTCAGTACGGGTCAACATCTACAGAACGGTTAGTCAGTGTCTATTCATCGTATCCGTGTATGTACCAACCGATTGCAGTTCTCCTGAAATAGGGTATGAATTCTTCATGGACCTTGATTGATAAATCCTAGAACGTTATTCTTTTTTATAAAGATTATATTACCATGATGTGGTTGACATAGTATGGCGTCAGACAGATGTTTATTTGTTCGCCGAGCTTGACAGTTGTATTGCAAACGTTTCATCACCAATCGAGGTGACATTCTCAATGCAGTAACTGGGTAGGTGCTTACGAGTGCCCTCTGCTTTATATAGGTCGTTGAGTGATGTGGCGTTGCCTGATTGG